GTATCCTAAGTCAAAACCTTGACTCTGTGATGGGTACCTGTTTATATTGGGATCTAATAGCAATCAGCTTAATGGTACCCAGACAGGAATTATCATTTAGCTAAGGCATCAGTGATGCAAGAGCCACAGCAATTAGCAGAAGCAGAAGGATCAAGGGACCTGCAATGGCTGACATCAGAGGAGCCCCAAAATGAGAATGGGACCAGTCGTCTATTTCATCTTAGCCCACCCCAACCCCCAACTTGGCAATGTGTCTGTGAGTATAGCCAAATTACCTCTAATGATTCCCAAGTGGTTTGTATAGAAACAACAATTTTCTCTTGAGGCTATAAAATAACCTTGTTCTGCATAGAGCAGGTTAAGTGTCCTATCATATTGTAGGACTATTTCAGCTAATGAATCTACCTATTGATAGATCTGAGTCTGTTTTATTTTAGTAGGTATTTTTTTGGTAATTTTCCTTGAGGCCAGCATGAGTCCTGGTATACCAATAGGCACTATAGGTAGCCCATGTGTCCCCTGTGCCAGGGAGTTTCCTTTTGACCTAACATTCCAGCCTTTGATAGAGGATAAGGGCTATGTACTCTCCTCTGTAACTACTTCCTACTGAAATTAGGGAGCCATTGTCAGGGCCCAGGAAGGCTGAAGTGCTAGTCAAAGGCTGGGAGAGGACTCAGGGCATTCATCAGAAGTATCTGGTTTGCTGACCCAGCTGAAAAGACAGGAAGCTGTCACATCGACTGGACAGGTTTGCATCAGATTTCAGCAAAGTCCATTGCTCACGGCCATTTAGAGCAGTTTGTAGTCCACACCCAATTCCTACCTGGGGTCTGTCAGCCAAGTGGAAATCTGTTGGGACAGATATAGACTAGGGATAGAAGTTAAAGTTTAGGAACTTAAAAAAAAAAATCTTACATTTGGAGCTTCCCACTCAAGACTAGGCAATCGGCAGGGAAGCTTAGGTTGCTGGTTGACCTCACAGGAATACTTACCTGGAGTCCATTCGATCTGTGACAGGTGGGTTCAAGTCTTACGACTCCCTGAAGCTTGCATGTACTTTTTTTGGTTTAATTCACTTCCTTATACCTTTAAAACTTTCATTTCCATACCTCAAAAGACTTTCTTAGACCCTCTGTACTTAAGCTTTCATATCCTCAGATTTGACACAACTCAGAACATTTCTTTAGACCCTCAGAACATCTAAAACTTTGTATATGTATATATAAACTATAATATATACATATATAGTTCTGTTTTTGTTGTTAAAAGACAGAATTTCTCTGTGTAGCCCTGGCTATCCTGGAACTCACTATGTAGACCAGGCTGGCCTTGAATTCAGAGGTTCACTAGGCTCTGACTCTGAGTGCTGGGATTAAAGGTGTGCGCCACCACTGCCCAGCTAAAACCCTTTTTTAATCCGATCATTTACCATAAGACACAAGTGGTTGATTACTGAGAGCAGTCATTGCAATGCAAGTTTCTTGAAGTAGTGGAAAAGTAAAAAGGTATAACTGAAACCTGTTTATGCTTTAATATGAAACCTGTTAGCAAGGCAAACCTGGCAGCCTTTCTCAACAGGAGACCTAGTTGCTCTAGAAAAAAGCAAGGCCTTATTTTTACATAATGAAATGAACTAAGAGGGTAGCTGCCACCTTGGGTAAGGTATTGGGTGCCTGTTGCCACCACCAAGCTGACAAAACTACAGTTCCCAACAACACCATCAGAAATCTGAGAAAGATAAATTAAAGCAGGAAGTGTAAACCAAACCACCTCTGTATCAGTTAAAATAACAAAGACTTACCAGCTACCTGGACAATTACCCTAGTAGGGTCTCCTAGTCTTGATGGCTGCACTGGGGACAGATGTCCCACAGAAGTATCAGTCTTTGGCTACCAGGCCCAGAAGATCCAAGAGACTTTCCTGTGGAGAAGGAACTTGAGAGACTGGCCTACCTTGTCTAGGCAAAATGGGGCAATCAACTCTCCAGCGTCCTGCTTATTCACCATTTGGGCAGGGACCTGGTGGCAGGCAAGGCATGGGGTGGCTTATCCCAGTGGTTAGCAGTACCACAATCCAGATGGAGTCATCCCTTCCCCCATAATCTTCTTTGGAGACCTTCAGGTCACCACTAAGCGCTGGCATTTACGTCTGTCATGGAAAACTTTCTTCATTAAACATTTTAAATGCCATATCAACAGATCTCTGAAGGTTTTGAGGACCGTACTCTGTTAAGTACATCTGAGCTAAACAAACTTCATTTTTAGTTACTAGCTTTAGCCTTAACCTTGAAAACATATACGGGAGGCTAAATTAAGCTTGTCATTGTAAATTAATTACATTTGAACTTGGCATGGCTACAAGCCTAGTTCTGAAGAATTTGATCATTTATAAGGTGACTGAATATTAAACTGACGTTTTATTTTTTACTTATTATTTTTATTTAATTTTTTTTATTCCTTTTACATAGCAACCACAGATCCCCCTCTCATCCCTCCTCCTGCTCCTCCCCAGGATCCCCACCGACATACCCCCATCCCCTCCTCCAAAAGGTTAACCCATATGTCTTAATTATTTTTAACAGTTTACAACAAGTTTGTAGCTTTTATAAGATTAGGATTTTATAGCTTTCTCTCTGTGAAGTTTGAGCCTTAAAAGATTTGAGTTGGAGATTTAATTGAAGATCCTTTAGCATCAAAATAAACTTCAAACCATATATACAGTCCATAGGGAGACTGGCAACTTTGTACTTTTCTGGTCCTTTCATAGCACACTATTATAGAATATCAGTTTCTAATATGACTCAGCTTATCAAAATAGCTAGAGTTTAACAAAGTTAGCGAAGAGCAGGAGGCTAGACATACATTCTGAAGTCAGTCTCTGTCAGCCTGAACAGGCCTGAGGTAAAGAGACATTCCACAGACTCTTTTCCAGACTGCTTGTCCTTGTCTGGCTGAATCCTAAGACAGGAACAACCCAGTTTCTGAAGTTAGTGTTTGGGGCTCATAGCTGTGGCCCTAACTCTTTAGCCTTTTATTTATTTTTAAGACTATATATTTTAAAATTACCCAGAGCCTTATAAACTTAAATTTTTTTTTTTTTGAGACAAGGTTTCTCTCTCTATGTAGTCCTTGCTGTACTAGAATTCTCTCTGTAGCCCAGGCTGGCCTCAAACTCGCAGAGATCCACCTGCCTCTGCCTCTTGAGTGCTTTGATTAAAGGTGTGCGCCACCACATCCAGCTTTATTTAAATTTTTAATAAAATTCTAAAATTTCCTTTTAAAAAACTTTAAAGTCTCTCAACTGTGGGTTCCTACAACATCAAAAATAAAGTACCCTTTTTAAAGTGCCCTTTTTCACTTCAGGGAGGAAGCAGGGTACAGCCACAGTCTGACAAGGTAGAACCCCAAGTCCAACAGTGCAAGCTACTCCATGCTCAGCGTCTGGGATTCACTCCCAGTGCTCTGGGCATCCCCAGGGGTTCGGGTCACCTCTCTGTCCCTGCCCTCAGCAGCACACACAGCCTATCTTCTAGGCTCCAGCTGGCTCAGTTTCATCATGCCCGTTATGTCTGGTGGCCATCACATGGCACCGGCATCCTCAAATCTGCTAGGGTTTGTCTCCTGGACTCTCTTTAGAAACTCCAGCCAGCCCTGCCACGCAGTGCCAAGCCTCAGCCGCTCTGCGTGACTCCTTTGTGCCTTCAAAACCGATCCCTTCTGGGTGACTCTCACATGACAAGGTTTGATTGTCAGCACAAGGTACGTTCTTGTATCTAAACACACAGAGGTGCAGCTTCAATACCTTATTAAACAAGCATTGTTTTTTAATCCTATCTTTCATGAACTTTGTTTTTATGATTGTCTTCAGGACAAGAATTATCACACAAAAATCCATCCTAACCCAAAATATCCTGGAGACCTGTTGTTGCCTCCTTGGTTGGATTATACGATACGGTCACCTCTCACAAAGATGGCGGTAAAGTTACATGACATCCACCCTCTCCGGACCTAACAAGGGCAGCTGCCAGGTGCATGGCTGCCTCTGTCCTGACGGGGTCAGCAACAAAGATGGCAGTAAGCCACGTGTGACTTACATCCCAAGATGGCATCACACCACATGGTTCCTTTAAGATTACCTATGTGTAGATTTTTAACTACCACCCCTCTGTGCTACGAGTTTTAAATTAACTTTTTTGTTACATATTTTACAGATTTTTAACTGTATCCAATAAACTTACAAATCTTGAGGTATAGAAAATTCACCTAATAGTGTTACAAATCTTGAGATAAGGTTTATATCTTAGCAAAAGTTGTATGCAGTTAAATGAAACCAGTAGTCTAATTTTTTTTCTAAATCTGTTTTGTTTTGCTCTCTAATCCCGGTCATAAAGTCAGGTAGCCTGCCTAACCCGGGAGAGTTAGAGGTTAAACGACTATGCGTGGGTCTAGAGGAGGAAGAGCCATAACCCAACTCCAGAGCCAGCTTTTCAATAAAGTAGAACAGCATAAAACAATTTTAGTGTTATACACACCCAAAAGACATTGGATTCCTGCTAAACTGAATGCAGCCACCAGAAAACCCAGAGATAAATTCTGAGCCCTGGCCATGAAAGCATCCAGAGCAAGCAACATTAGTGGTGGTGGCTGGCAGCTGGCAGAGAGAGCAGAAACAAAACCAACAAACACAAAACACAGGAAGCTCACACGCTCAAAGGAGAGCCGTCAGAAACAAAACATGAAATGGCCACCGTCATTCATACAGTCCACTGAACCTGACCCATGTCTGTCACATGTTTGCAACAAAAATTATGAATACACGAGAAAACATAGCCCATCTGCCCACACAAAACAGACAAAACTTTCCAAACAACTAGAACCAGGTGAGTGGGTGAAGACTCGCTTTTTGCCCCAGACAGGAGAGTATTGGGTACTGTTGAATCCCTCCAGTCCCAGATTGGGATCCCAACAGAACAGATGTCATAGAAAATGACCATGACTTACCAAGAAAGGCCTCAATAGATGCTTGCAGCCTTTCTCAGCATGGCAGTTCACTCCGATAGTCTGCAAAGCCAAAAGCACACCTCGGAACCTTGGAATGTCTCAAGGCGTGTACCTCCTGAGGTGGCCCTTCAGCCACTGGGCCCCAAAGTAAAGGTCTGGCTTTACAATTTGGGTAGGTAGTCTGATCTCACCGAGGCCTCCAGAAAATGTTAATCCCACAAGATGAGAATACCCACAAGGCTACATTCTTCCTGCCTTTGTCCAATCAGGGGCAAGCATACCTCCTGACATACTTCCTGCCTTCGTCCAATCAGGGGCAAGCATACCTCCTGACATACTTCCTGCCTATGTACCTCCGGTCTATGTGTGATCAAGCACATCCTGTGCAGCTGGGGCAACCAAGCTTGTTTACGGAAGTGAAAACACTTAGCTTGTTATCTTACATGAACAACAGCCCCCAGTATTCCAGGAAGTTATCTATTTTTGGGCAAGAGGGGCTTACAGATTAGAGGCATTTTTGTTTTATGGATCTCTTAATCATAGTAACTTAAACTTAAAACATAACTTTAGCCATCACACTGCTTACTGGCTTGCATGCATGGCTTGCTCAGCCTGCTTTCTTATAGAACCCAGGATCGTCATCCAAGGGATAGTACCACCCACAACAGGCTGAGCCCTCCCACATCAATCACTAATTAAGAAAATGCCCTACAGACTTGCCTGCAGCCAGATCTTATGGAGGCATTTTCTCAATTGAGATTCTCATCTTTCAAATGACTATAGCCTGTGTTAAATTGACATAAAACTAGCCAGCACAAACACATTCTTTTTATGTAAATGAAGTTTATACTTTTGTTTGTAAGATTCCCAGGAAAAAAAAAATCACAGAAATTACACCTGGAAAGGAAGACGTCCCCAGAGATGATATACATGGAAGCCTTAGACATGGCTTATTACTTTTTTAACACTCTTGTTGATAAAGGGGGAAAGCAAGGTGAAGGGGACTTCTCAACTGTGACTGCTTTCTCACCTCATATGAGGTAAGCAACATCAGGAGCCAGAGTGTTGGTCAATCAATGGCCACTAAAATCCCACCTCCATTATCTCATGAGTGCATTTCACGGACAACGGAAGGCTGAGTTGCAGAACGTGTTTTATTATAGGTGAGCAGTTAAGAAAAATTCCCAAGGAGCTGTGACTCTAGGAGTTAAGAAGGCTTTCCTGGGTTGGGGCATGGGGTTAAGGCGAGCTGGTTGGTCAGTGGTCAAGCACCTTGCCTTCTCAGCATCTGCACTGGAGTTCCAGACTCATCTTCCAGAGGTCCGACCAGACACTGCTTCCAGGCAGCCACACTCATTAAAGCTGCTGTGTAAAGGAAAAGAAAGATTGCAAACAAGAAACCAGAAAACAAACCACTGCCTCTAAATATTTTGGTCTATCAGGCCTCCAGCCAGGCCTTAGCAGCCAACAGAACCAGGGACATTCGTGGCTTCCAGCCAAGACAGGACTAGTTGTCAAAGACAAGAAACAGAATTGCTCGTTTTCAAGGTCCCAGTCCCTAAACTCCCCAACCAGTTCCTTTCTCCTGTTCCTAAATTTGAAATGTCTCCATATAAAAGAAACTATGTCTCTCAGTAGGCAGACTTCACAGCGAATTTTCTTGATTGTACTGGAACTTTTGTCTCTTCGGCTCGTAAGACGTCAGTCAGACTCCAGAGCAAAGGCTCCTCCCCCTGCCCATGACTCCTTAGGTTTCCCTACTTTCTATTGCCAGGATGCTGGAGCTACATAAAGTCCTAGTCCTAGAAAAAAAAACAAAAATTGCTTTGTTCTCTGTAAAAAATATATATATATATCATTTTAATGACTCTTCCCTCAGCCCAGAAAAATACATATGTTCTCGCCAAATATATTATTTAGCCCGCTAGACTTACAGATTTGTGTGTTTAATCACACCCCAATGCAAACAAGTTTTTCCATTTTGCAGGTCATCCTGTCACCTTTTCTCATTACCATGCAGATCCAAGTCTTCCTCACTCTCGCCAAATGTTAACCCATCTCAAAGTCACACTTGGAGGTGAATGCGGCAATTTCAAATGCCAAGTAAGCTTCCTCAATTTCACAGCCAACTCCACGTGACTGAAATAGGGACGGACTCTGTCTTTCTTGTGTCATATTCCCCCATCAGATATGAAACAAAAAATTATTTCGAATTCTGAAGCAAGGAGCGTGTGTGCGTGTACGTGTGTGCATGCGTGTGTGTGCGCGTGTGTGTATGTGTGTGTGTGTGTGTGTGTGTGTGTGTGTGTGTGTGTGTGTAATGAGGGTAGCAAGGAGGACAAGAGGAGAAGGGAAGGGGGAAAAGGACAAAGAGGAGGAGGGATCCCCTCTGAGAGCAATCGGAGCCCCCAGAATCCCAAGAGCTTACAGGCCAGCCAGTCTAGCATAAATCAAAGAGTTCCAGGCCAGTGGGAGACTATTTCAAAAAAACAGAGTGGAGAGCAAGAGAAGAGACACACAACGTCCACTTCTAGCCTCCAAACACACAAGCATAGGTGCACACACTGCACACACACACACACACACACACACACACCACAAGTTTGTGTGCGTAGTGGTACACACTTATATTCCCACAACTTGGAGGAAACAGAGGCAGGAATCTGAGATCAGTGTGGCCTTCATGGGAAACCCTGTCTCAAATTATTTAATGACTTTCCTAAATTGGACTAGTTTTATAACACTTTGGATTTTGTCTGTTGACCTGATTGCTTTAACGAGACATGACATGTAATGAGCTGCACTTGGTTAGATGTGCGATTCACGTTTCCATGCATGTGTATGCATATATAGACCTATGCATGTGTACACCTACGGAACCATTACCACAGCCAGAGCCACAGACAAACCCGCTCCCCAAATGTTTCCCCGTGCCTCTTTATTCGGCTGGATTTTAATCCAAGGAGAATGAGGGGAGCAGCAAGCTCTTTTCTGCCTTCCCCGCATCAGAAAGTCAAATTGCTGAGAAATCCATTTCTGAGCCTTATTGGACTTTTATTTGGACAAGTTGAATAAATACGTGCAATTTGTTGACAATACATTCACAAATGAGGGTACAAGAAATCTGTCTTTAAATTGCATCTTCAGAGAAAATATTTCCATAGTAAACTCTATTTGTCCCAGGAAGTATTAGGCTACTTGAAAGGCTGAAATTGAAAAGTAAGCAATCACACTTTGTAAGGTCCCCAGTTTTCCTCTCTTTCAGGTAGAGAATTCTCTGAAGCTAAACAAGAGATTCCTGATATAAGGGCCGCAGCTTCTCACCCTCTGCCGGCCTGCACAGTGAAAACAAAGCCCTGGCCTCACTTTTCATTTTACCACATCTTATAACCAGCGAGTAATTAAATGTTACTTCAGAATTTCTTGATACAAATATTGATGTTCCAGATAAAACCATGTCAACAGCATTCTGAATATGTGCTATGAAGGCCTTCCCTTTTGTGGTCCCCTTCAGCTGGAATCCTGGGTCTGCAGGGCTGTTGCTGACTCCCCCTGAGCACCCCACAGTATGAGAAGAACATCTCCAGACTCAGTTTCCCCATCTAGAAAGTGGGATTCATCAAATTGGATCACCATGAAGATAACAGGTACCACTTAGTGCCAACTGCCATTATAATGTGAGACTTGTTGTTTCTGGTCATGCTATAGGCTAGAAGTGAGAGGCGAAAGCTTTTGATTTCAGTGATGCTAGAGGAAGCCTTACCATCACCACTATCCAGTGGAGCCAGCCTTCAGTGTGGGGTACCTGGATATCACCTATGACCAGTCAATAAACGCCTCTGTCGGCAGAAGAAAAGAAAGTGATACTCACCCACCAGAGTGGGATATCCCTTCAAAAACTCAGCTTTCTAGGAATGGTAATGTAGCTCAGCTGGTAGAGGACATGCTTAATAAACACGAGGCCCTCGATTCAGTTGCCAGCATCACGTGAACTGGGCATGGTAACACAATCCCACAATCCCTGCACTGGGAAGTGAAGACATGAAGATCTGAAGTTCAAAGTCATCCTCAACTACATACTGAGTTCAAGGCCGTCCTGAGACATGTGAGACCCTGCCTCAAAACAGTGAAAGGCCAGCTCCCTGAGGGTTCCAGAAGCCAGCTGTGGATGAAGCCACCCACCCATGGGGGGGGGCCCTCTGTGATCCTACAAGCTAAAAAGCAGAGTAGAACCAAATTTACAGTGCTCCCCATGGGGTCTAGGACAGATCAGCCCAACAAAATAGAAGGTTCTCTTTGAAACAGGTTTCTTGAAGTGCTTTTTTACATTTTATAACTAACTATACGCCTAAAAAAAGTGCCCGTCTGGGGTTAGACAGTTTGTCCTAAGGAAATGATCCAAAAGACAACATACAAATCAGCATCTGTAAGAAGGTAACTGCATTTTAACTACCCTCAGGCATTCAGAGAGGGTCACCCAAAGGCCTCCCTTCCAAAAATACTGACTGTAATCACCCTCACTTTTGTCTCATCCCTCACACCTAGCCGTCTGAAAACCATGTTTACTCTGCTATCATTTTGTTAAATTGGGACATTGTCAGGTGGAAACCCTAACACCTGATTAACATGTTAACTGCATTCATTGCATGCCTTCGATAAGGGATTTGATAACAGCATATGTCATAATTATATTGTGGAATGCAATAGCATGTTCCAGTGAGCCACACATAATTATATTAAAGCAGTATTTATGGCAATTATATCATTTGTTGAATTGTTGTAATTTCATTAAGTATAGGCGCCTGTAATGGATTAAATTCAGAAACGCTGAAGTTTTACAGTGGATCTCCTTGAAAAGTGTTCACGAGAGATGGGACTCGTGATGTTCCCAGGAGTCCCAATTAGGGACTAAACACAATAGGAAATTAGATGCAATTCTCCCTGCAAATTCTCTTGGGTTCATCCCCACCCCCAGCCCTAAACTCACCCCAAACCCCACCCCCAGCCCAACTCCAACTGAGAACCTTTCCTTTTGACAAGCATCATTCACTCACCCCCATTTCCCCAGGCCTAGACCCCCCACTTCCCAAGCACCCTCAATGCCTGTCTGCCATGATTTCCATTGAAGAGACTCCATCTCGCTCTCTCAGAGCCCACAGCACTGAACGTGAGGGTTTTGTTGTTGTTGCTTTGTTTGCTCTTGCTGTGG